CCAGTTTCATTTTTACAACACTTAATTTGATGTACACAGCAATGAAGAATTTATTTCACATCAATTCAACAGAAGTCCATTTTGCATTTATCATCTACCTGGTTTTTTTTTCTGCTTTTTTACTTTGTTTCATTTATTTCTTGGTTCTCCTCTCCTTCACAAATTTTAAATTTGTTATTTATTTACGTTTCTTCCTTCAACTAAATCAATACATACTTATGCGTAGGTATTCACAACTATATGCTAATTTATAAAACTTGAACAATCAAGTCGAAACTCTGGTATTGAAAAACAATTTCTCCTTATTTTCATACTATTCACTTAAAATAGTGAACTGAAAAGTAGATAGAAGAATGAAAAACCCTAATCTCTCCCTTCTTCCGACCTTTTCCGTCCATTTTCGTTCCATTTACTCTTCAGCAAATTTTTTCGCCTTTTTTTCACCAAAAAGAAAAACAAAATCCGGAAACATTTATTTCAGAGCACAAAGCAGTTACATAATCGTCCACATAGGTATACATGGCTATCGGATAAACTTGCAACTGCCCTCATCCTAAATAACAGCAGATAAAGTGCAAGCGAAATAAAAGCCATATAAATGAACATCCAGATCAGGAAAGCGTCACTACTAGTGTGTTCTGGCTTTCAATAAAAAAAAATAAGACGAAAATAGAACAAGACAATAAACAGCAACAGCAGCATCAGCAACAACAGCAGTAGCAACAACAGCAAAAACATATAACAAATTTTGACAAATATTACCCAGCTTCAAACCACCAATATGCCAAATGCGAGAAAAATGAAAAAGTAATAGTAATTTAGCTAAACAAGAGACTTTAAAAACGAAGTTTTTAATATACAGTGATAATCAAAAATACACATCTTTTTTGGTTACTTTAGTGCATTTCCGCTCAAAAATCAACTAAGTTCAATCACTGATTAAAAATTTATCATCGTTTTCATAATCATCACCACAGCACAATTCTTCTGTTTTTAATCCATGCCTAACACGTGAACAACAACACATTGGTGGCTAACCAACAACGGATGACATCCATTATAAATTTGATCCTACACAAACAGATACTAGTTGAATTAGCAAGACAAACCAATTGCAAAAACCAGCTTAAATATGAAATTCATGTTGATGTCGACGATGGTAGACCATGCTGACGTTACTGATGATGGCCAGTGTCGGTGATATGAAAGCCATTTCCGCAACATACTCAGTAAAGAGGGATACGAGACGTCCGCCTCAAACCTACCAGGCATTATCTAAGCATAGTTTGGCAGCACAAAAATATCACTTTGAAGAACTATTGAACACTATGCACAATAAAACTGATTATAGTCTTGTTCAAGTTTTTTTCACTTCTTTCTTGGAAGTTAAACTTTTGAAAGCTAAAAAACACATCTACACTATTCCTTTCCAGTTCCTCTCCCCATTATTTAAAGATACAGGAACAAGCGTTCAACCTCCTTCCTTGACACTAGAACAAAAATTGTCCTTCATCCTGCGTAGAATCTACATCACCAACGCCACCAATTTTCGAAGAAATATGTGGAGGCGTCCGATACTAATACCGTGTATGAATCATTAGTGAGCAAAATTTTTAAGATGGAAAAAATTCAGCAACTTTTTCACACTGCCCCTGTGTTAATTAAAAGTTATCTGAGCAATTTTTCTTGAAGTGAGCTAAATTTTTCCACCGCATGTATAAATCATCTGTTACTAATAGTATGTTGTTTACAACGTTTTATCTGTTTCTTCGAAGTTTTTTGTTTTTCGTTCCTTCTCTTACTAAGGTCTTACTGAAAATTTGAAAACATTTTCATCTCTTCCAAATTCTTTTCAGCTTAATTACTGCAATAACTTTATACGTGCCCATGACTCGTAGTTATTTATCTTCCTTGTCCTGGTGATCTGAGTGGCAAATGGGCAAGACAAATACATTCTAAAGAAAGCAAGTTGTCCCGCAGTCAAGTAAAACCTTTGTAACTAACAGAAAAATATAAATCTTTATTAAAGAAGAAAACCTTGAAGACGATGCCAAAAAATGAGAAGGAAAGAATGACCAGGAGCAAACGTGGATATATATTCTGCATCCAATTTTTCATATTTCTG